ATGGGCGATTAAGCTTTGAAATTATTCCATTTCAGTTTAGTCTCGAGTCTGCAGATTCATCTATCAAATTTTGAAGCCCACTAAATATTTTTTTTCGATGATTCTTATCGCTGTCATTTCGTTTCGTGCTTCTAGATGTCAGCACTACTCGTTTTTCTTCATAATTTTGTAAAGTATAATTTGGAATTGAAATCGTCGCCGTTTTTTCCCTTGTTTACAGAATATTTTTCTCATTCATGACAGTACACCTCTTTTAAGCACCTTCTTAGAGTTGCAATGCATTTTGAACGGAGTTATCAGGAGTTGTAGCAAAAACATGTAGAGATCAAGCGACCCAACGATGGAGTTGTTTACAATGAGTTCCCATTTAACCATGAACGAATGAAATGCTCTCAAACTAGTCACCAACGAAACAGTTAGACTGAGGAATCAGACTTTGTTCCTGTTTTATTTTGTTTTTCTTTAATTTAATTTTTTTTAACCAATAACTTCGTTCAAGACTGAATCAAATTAATAGATTGAGAAAGCCGTACCCAAATCAAGTTGATTGTTATTTTCTTTCGTAGATGACTTTCTTGTCTTAGTTTTCACCGGCGCTGATCAAAAACTAAAGACATAAAAAAGTGCAAACCCGAGCTATTCTCAAATTTTTTCATCTCTGACTTCCATTCGCAGAACACTTCTTAATCACGGTTAAAACGACAACAAATAACACTGAATAATATAGCAGGTAACCTTCGCGTTGTTCATTTTGATAAACTTCAACATGAAGAAAGTTTAATTTATTGATGAATTAATTCACGATAAAATTAACAGCACCCGTTCTAAGAGTTTTCATACATGGTTTAGGAAATGTATCAAAGAAAAGCCCTTACGTTGCTTAAAGCCACGCTCAATTGCAAAAGGTAACTGAGCCCTAAAATCTCCGATCGCTTGCTGACGATGTTTCCTTTCGGGAACCAGAATAAATGTAGCGGTAAATTTTCACAAATTCACCGAATAAAACAGAGAAAAACACCTGGTTATCCTGGAAATGAGTTCTGAAATCATTCCAAACATCATTATCTCGTTTATAAGTGCACAATTAACGCAAATCCTAGGCGTTTTGATCACGACGGGAAAACCAGCGAAATGACGTCCTGAACTTGATGGGGAGAACGGCAACGCTAACACCGGGAGTCGAAATAGAGTCGTGTCCAGATTATCCGCGCACTTTCCCGTTCTGAAATGACGTTCCCGTCCTCTTGCTAAACCACTCTATTGTTCATGATCAGTAGGTATCACTAAGCCATCGTAGCACGTGCATTTACGATGAGCTATCAGAACAGTTAAATTACAGGGAAAGATCATTTAGTAAAAACAATTTTCATCCAACAGTGGAAAACGTATTTTGCTTTATAAAATATTTTAAAACACCTGTGAATACATGAAAATCGGTTACCGGTCACCTCGCCACCAAGCAGACTCGCCACCAGCGAACTCGCCACCAAGGAACGATCTCGCCACCAACGTACTCGCCACCAAGCGAAGTCTTCTCGCCACCAACCTTTATAAAGTTTGAGTACAGACAAGCGAACAAACTTATCGGTTTCGAACGTGCTTTCGACAACATACGTTTATAAAGTTTGAGTACAGACAAGCGAACAAACTTATCGGTATCGAACGTGCTTTCGACAACATACGTTTATAAAGTTTGAGTACAGACAAGCGAACAAACTTATCGGTTTCGAACGTGCTTTCGACAACATACGTTTATAAAGTTTGAGTACAGACAAGCGAACAAACTTATCGGTTTCGAACGTGCTTTCGACAACATACGTTTATAAAGTTTGAGTACAGACATTAGCGAACAAACTTATCGGTTTTGAACGTGCTTTCGACAACATACGTTTATAAAATTTGAGTACAGACAAGCGAACAAACTTATCGGTTTCGAACGTGCTTTCGATAACATACTTTTATAAAGTTTGAGTACAGACTTATCAGCCGAACATCTGTCCTCGACTAATCTCTTTATTGGTGGTTGGTGGCGAGAAGACTTCGCTTGGTGGCGAGTACGTTGGTGGCGAGATCGTTCCTTGGTGGCGAGTTCGCTGGTGGCGAGTCTGCTTGGTGGCGAGGTGACTGGATACCATGAAAATCATATATGTGAACTGCGGATGAAGACGTGAATATGAAAGCGATCTTCGCAGTAAATAGAGATTACTTCATGGAAAATGCGCGCGTACGATTTTTATTCATGAGTTTTCTGATACGTATCAACGAGTGAATGAAAATCGTACAAAGCATTTTCCATGCTGTAATGTGTTTATTTCATAGGTGCTGAGATTTTTTCGTGTTGTCTTTGGTAGACAAATAGCACCAATGGGGCGATGAAAAGCGTAAAAAGTAGTTTAAAAATTTCTCAACAACAAGTTAATAAAAGTGCATAAAGTTCATAACACTTAAGCTTACCTGTGTTCATCAGATATCAATCAAGTTCAATGTCTATTAATATTATAATAAAGAAAGCCATGCCAACAAACTACTTAGTGTCATGTAAAGAAAGTCAATATTCAGTTATCATCAGAGTCACTTTCCAGTTCTAAAGGCCTCAGACGTTTCCATCTCGCCGCTTCGGGACTTGACGGATCTGATTTACTGTGTTGATAGCTGCTTTTGCTTGGATTGAAGAACTTTTCTGGTTTTCTCAAAGACCAAGTCGTTGATTATGCTGGCAGAATAGCCCTTTTTCTTCAAATGTCGTTCGAAGCTGGCCATTAAACTTCGAAGCGAAGTCGGCTCGTACTCGTTGCCATCTTTAGTGCGTACGGAGATAATAAATTTGCTAATGAATTCATTCAACTCAGCCGCTGGAATATCTTCAATTTTCCTGTCTTCGTCCTTCGTTTTCAAAAATCTTTCAGGCAATCGTACATCTCTTTCAGTTTTTTGAGCGGTATTTTTGTTTTCGTGTTCTAAAATGAATTCTTCAACTGAGTAAACAGAAGCGAACCTTCCCTCGGCCATTTTTCAAAGCGCGCGGGTTTTGTGCAACGGCTCTCGCATGACGTTCTCTTCAGTACGTTCATTCATCATTAGTGAAATTTCGTCGTTCGCGTTGCTGATTGGACGAACGATAATTTTTCACGGTGAAATTTTGTCGTTCGTACTCCTGATTGGTTACATTTAGAATCAGTACGAATTTTATTCACTACGATTTTTGTGGGTAAATCTCAGTACCAATGAAATAATGAACACTACTCGAGCAGTAGTGAAAATAAGGCCAGAAAAAAAATTCAGGCCTGTACGGGATTTGAATCCATGACCTTTGCAACACCGGTGCAGTGCTCTACCAATTGAGCTAACAAGCCAACTGGAAGCTGGTCACTATGTTGGCTCCGAAAAACCCGTGAAGCGATAAAGCGGACGCTCTTATCGGTCGATTAATGTGTTCAGATGGAGGTATGAAACACGGTCGTGACGTCACACTTTGTGTTTCACGGCACAATTTGCGCAAAAATCCGCAAAAAAGTTCAAGTACAAATGTTAAGGAAATGGAAAAGGAACGGCCAAGTTTTGATTTGGTCTTTATCGTCTCCCCTCAATAAAGCAAAAGAAAGAAAAAATTCAGCACTGACATGGGCAACAAAATGCACAGTAAGTGTTTTTCAAGGTAATTTCTGCATTACTATGATGTCCTCTACAAGACATTCTTTATTAAAAAATTTTCACTAAAAAATTCTCACTAAAAGATTTTCACTTAAAAACTAAACCTACCTGTGCGCTGCAGACCGTGTATGTCTCAAAGCAAACCTTGCAGGGCCTATCTTTTGCCGTGTTTTGGCTTTCAGATTTTTCATAAAACTGTAATTTCCCCTAAAAAACTGTCGAGTAAGACGGCCTCACAAAAGCTTATTCAGAAGTGAACTTCCGGTTTAATTTAAAGCAATATCGATCAGAACTCTGAGGAAATTCATCCCAAGAAATTACAGATGAGACTGAAGTAAATTGAAGTTCTTTCCTTGATGTAAAGAAAACTCGGTATGTTTTTCTGTCAAATTTTCGAGGATTCAAGGCTAAAATCGTTCACTTCAGCGGTGCTGGCGCTTGCCACAAATTTCCACTCCATTTTGATGGTCAGTAGGAAATTCTATCGTCTAGAGCGTGTATTAAGAAAATCTATATCAATCAAGAAGTAAATAAATAACCTTTTCCTTCATTTTCCTTCACACTTGGGGGGTTGAGAGAATTCCCGAAAGTTATGCAAACCCGAGAATACGCCTCGGGTTTGCATAACTTTCTCGATTTTTCCCAACCTCTCTCGTGTTTAGATGAGGCTATGTAAACAGGGAAAGGGACTTCCCTTTTTCTCTTTCCTGCAAGAATGTTCAGGAAGAATTTACACCAATTTGTTATGGAAATCAGTTACAGAACTAATGAATAGCAAGGATCGTTAGCCTAAATAGAATCAAACTGTTAACTCGTGATATTATTTATAATTCTCCACAGGCTTCTTTTGGTAGTTATTTCCTTGTTTTGATCGTTGTTGCCGCCGTCTCTATTTCGAAACTTTCGGTTGTAAGAGGTAATTCCTTCGTTGCTAAGCTCTGGAGCCTAGCGCAAGGTGCGGGGTATTAGAATATAGAATTTGTTGCGGAAATTGTTCAGAAAGAGGAAGAAAGAGTTGTCCCGACCCGCTAAAAATTACCGGATGATTCTCAATCTCGTGTTTGTGAACTCACTATATTTTTTTTTTATCCGAGCTTTGAAATGAAACATAGAAATATTTTATTCGTTTTATAACAAGTAAATGAAAGAACCAATTTTGAAGCCAAGAATAACCGTTGATCCTGTAGTCTGATCGTTCAAGTGAGGATGATCTAAAAAGGTTTTTGTGCACAAATGACTAAAAATATATCTGCACATCTAAACTCACTTTTTATTTGCCTTAATCACATTACTATCTACACGCGTTTAAGTGAGAGGTTGTCACTCTTTTTCCATAATGTTTTTCTAACATTGGTCATCGGGATAATCTTCATACTGCGAATTGAATGTGTTCCTGACAAAACATCTAGCTGCAACACTGTCACATTTGCAGATGGCAAGTTCACATGCATTATTGCTTGGTCTACTAGCTGAAACATGGGAAAAAATTTATATCAAGATCATTGACAACATTAGCCACAGTTTTCCAATAGTTTTTTTGGGAAAATCTCGTATTTACGTAATGAATTAGCTAGCGTACGAGCTGAATGACAGCGATTCATATCCTGCTAAACTAGAATGACTTTACAGGCAGCTAAGACTCATATCATGACAAAAATATGAAAAATCTTTTAACTCTCGCGTTAGAAAACAACTTACAATTTGCAAAGAAAGAAGGAAAGAAAGTAAAATGTATTATTTCATACCGCATCCGCTGCATCCAACCCGTGAGTAAAATTCATAGTAAACATCATTGTCAGAAGGACAGATTCCGGAGTTTATAATGCGATCGTAACAAGCATCATGCTCCTGACAGCACCTGCAAGACAGAAGATCTTTTTTTTACAAACATTGATCTCAAACATTTATCTACCCTTGAATTTTAATATGTTTATTTATCGGACTTCAAAGAAGTAAACAACACACAGAATCAATCAAGTTATGAAACTGATCATGTTCCTTGGAATTTGTATAGGTAATGGCATAATTTCGAGTGCAATTTGATGTAATTAGGCACGAAAAATGAAGGGATTTGCTTTCGGGTTTCTACTAACGGGGGCTTAAAGAGAAAGGAAAGTTCTAGATCTAACTATCAAAGTGTCCGCAGCCGCTTAAGGGAATGTACTATTAGAGGGTAACATGGCAGTGCCGACAGGCATTGTAAAGGCGGTTATTAGTATAGCTAACCGCTCACGAGAGTTTCTAAGAAAGTTTCTATTTTATCAGCTTTTTACATATCGAAAGTTAACTTACCTGTCAACCCCGTCCACAGGTGTTCCTTTTCCCCCCAAACCGCAATAACAACCATAGCCAAGATAATCAAAAGCTGATCTGCCAGTTTCACATCTGATCATACTGCCAAACTGCAACACATGCCTCTTCGCCCGTAATGGGAACTTGCCTGCTGGTTCTACAATACATTTAAGCAAAATCTACGGGATCATGAAAGTTTCTATTAAAGTGTATTTTACAGGCGAAGAAAATTAAATTTTTGAAATATCAACTCTTATTTCATTAGTTATGGGATTTCTGGTCCCAATTGAGGGGTATTTGTTTGTGTAATTATTTTTCAGACAAGATAAAAACTTTCTCTGGGGGGATTTGGCCACTGATGCATCGCCGATTAACTGCGGGAAGTGAGGTGATCCTGATTGCAGATCAGCAACGAACCACATGTGTGCCTGTGGTAGAACATTTTAAAAATTCGCCTGAGTTTCGTCGTAGTCATTATGAAAATTAGCCACGTGCTTCTTGTCTTAATTTTCAGATTTCATTCCTGTTCTTTGAAGAGTCAGCGCTAAATTTATCATTTTCCTCGTGTAAACAGAGTGCCAGACAAATACCGACCCATCTCACGTTAACGCCTCCAAGCGTCTTGTGGAAATTGTGGAAACAAAACAGTCGGAGATATTAAATTAATGAGAAGAAAAAGGTTAGTAACAATTCCTGTATCTTAAAACTGGATCCGGAGAAAAGTAAAGGGAATACGACTTCAGTTATTAAACCATGTTGGTCAAGTTTACGCTGCATTTTTATAGCAGCATATGATTGTTTCGTCGACTGATTTTTGATTTTACAAACTAGCTGATTGACATTTGATTTTAGCCTTGTTTAACAGCCGATGGCGCAATCGTTTTAGTAAGTTTAACTTGAGATCAAAGGACACGTACTTCAGTCATGAAAGAGGAAGTACTGTTCCTCGCCAGCTAACCTGTAGTTTTTCTGCTGACCCGTTTCTTTCCCGTTTCGCTGACCTGTTCTGTAGTAATTTCGCCACAGTAAGTAATTTGTTTTGTAACCAGTTTAATATTCAGTATTGCAATTTCGTATTTTCCCCATGTAATTTCATGCATCGCTCGCTGTTAGATTTCTTAAGAATTATGTATTGTCTCTTACAGATCAAATAAAATCAAAGATAGAAATATACGTTTCGTGTCCAGTCAATTACTCGATAGTCACTTTATCCCCGGACCAATGATATCGTTGGATGTTGATGGTACATTTACTACAATGCAAATATTACCTTCAACCACTGACAATCCCAGGGCGTTAAAATGAGCAAGGAGGAGAAGTAGTAGGTAACATCCAGGGCGGAAAACCTGCAAAGAAAATTCAAAGGTTTAATAGAAAATTATGCTGACAGGGTAAAATATTTCTTAACATTGATTGAACTCTCGATATTTTGATAGCATTTGCCTTTTTGTCCCACGGCATCTAGTGTGGAATTTTAAAATTAAAGCCACAATTCACTTCTCTGCGTACTATATTATATTACGGTATGCCTGTAAAATGGAATAGCTGGTATTACCATTTTTCGGAGAGAATTATTCTGTCTTCGTAAGTAACTCGTTCTGCATTGACGATGTTGCGCTCATGGAGCCTATAAATACTTAAACAGCACTTCCTCAAACAATACCAAATCACGTAGGAACACGAACTCGGTTTCTGAGAAGGTGTAAGAATAAAAGGTCTGTTTAAACTTCCCTCTCAGCCGAAAAGGAAAATAGACAAAAGGGATTCTTGTAACGTATCTTACAAAACATTTGACCTGCAAATTTCACCCCATATGATGTTTTTGTTATGACATCAAGTTTACATTGTTCATCTGTGTATTTCGATTCCGTGTCCTGTTACGCGCATAATTGTTTTAGGAGCAGCTTGGATCAAACGAAAAATATACAGCTTATCTGACTTCAAATCTTATTAAGTGTGTTAAATGTACTAAGGAAATCCAATTGTAGAATGAAGACAAAAGTGGGACATAACATTGAATAGAGATTCCCAAACCGTGAGACCCAGATTTCCTCATATTTCCAAAAAAGCATTGGAAGTAACGTTTGAAAACAACGATCGAATGCAAACCCCTAGTGGAAGATAGGACAGCACAGGTAGTCCAAAAAGGTCAGTTAGCGAACTCGCAGATCTCCTCATTAAATAACGAGAGTCTGACACATGGAACGAATATAGAGGAACGAGGAGGGAAGTAAAGTTTTCTAATATAGATTAGTTACAGCGCAGCAGGCATACCTCGGCTGTCACTTGATTTCAGTTCCTGAACAATTTTCCTTGCACCTCTGTGTGAGTGGTGATCACATTCTTTCAAGCCATATATTAAGTTGAAGAGACGTTTAGTCAGCCGAAAGGATATCCAGCATTATTTAACGCAGTGTTATATCTAATTTTTGAAATGCACGATCCTATTGCGGTGATTTACAGCTCAACCGCTCACTGATCGCCTGTCACGTAGTCAGTGAACTGATCCAAACTAAAACTTTTCTGAGCTGACCGGAGTTCAGCACTTTGCCTGCGCAACAAAATGCGCAGTAAGTGTTTTTCAAGGTAATTTCTGCATTACTATGATGTCCTCTACAAGACATTCTTTATTAAAAAATTTGCACTAAAAAATTAAACCTAACTATGCGTTGCAGACCGTGTATATCTCAAAGCAAACCTTGCAAGGCCGATCCTTTGCCGTGTTTTGGCTTTCAGATTTTTCATAAAACTGTAATTTCCACTAAAAAACTGTGGAGTAAGACGGCCTTACAAAAAGTTATTCAAAAGTGAGCTTTCGGTTTAATTTAAAATAATATCGATCAGAACTCTGAGGAAATTCATCCCAAGAAATTTCAGATGAGATTGAAGTAAATATGTTATTCCATCAGTTGCTACCTTCCATGAGGTGTCCTTTAGACATCTCACCGGAAAGGAATCGAGTTTGATAGTTTTTTTTTGCGAAGATTTCATCGCGAACAAGACTACTCTTGTGTGAAAAATATAGATGGCGCCCTCAAATCAAGCAAAAGCCAAAGACCGGCTAAAGCTGGTCTGAGTGTGTTCCCTGAAATTCTTGCAGAACTACTTCTAGTGCGAGACATTTCCTCTAACATTCATGTGGAAATTGCGGAGTTTATCAAAGTAAATATGTTGTTTCATCGGTCGCTACCTTCTACGGATGTCACTAAGATATCTCACCGGAAAGGATCCGTATCAAATTTGATAATTTTTTTTGCGGAGACTCATACGTGTACGTGCAACACATAACGGGGGGTAAGAATAGAGATGATATGTCTATCGAAAATAAGATTTGTAGTACAGTAATACAGAAAAAATGAGTCAATGATGTCTCTTAAAATTTTTAAATCTGTTCTGCCGTCTCCTTCGCATTACAATAGGGAACTTAAGCAATGGACGTTTTCGGGGCGACGGCGATTTAGACCGGAAGTTAAGTCATGACCCGTGCATTACTGCGCATGATTTAGCCAACTTCCCAGCCGTCGCAGGGACGTCGACGACGTGAAGAGCGGGTGTTTGCCGTTGCGGTGAAAACGTGAGTGTTAGTTTTCTGTTTTGGTCATTTTTGTGACCTCTAACAAATGCTATTTTTCGAAATCTTTCTTTTGATTTCATTGTTAATATACAGGTGACTTTTTAGCTCGATTTAACTGTTCTTTTTTGCCTTAAATTCGTCCTAACTTGTGAGTTACTCTTCTTTCTAGCTAAACGCATATAATGGCCAACTCAACAAGCACAAAATCGTAAGTGAGAATAACAATTGAATCTGTCTGTAGATTTGTACAAAAATATTCAGCCAGGGTGTACTTTGAACTCATTTCTTTGACCATTTCTATTTATTTTCAGCGGGAAAACAGTAGTTTACAGCGAATTGCGATAGTTCACTTCTCTACTAATACTGAAAGGTTTAGCTATAAGTATAAATATGTAAACATGTTACAACTGCTTGGTCTCGCTAATTTCACGAGAATGTTATTTTAATGCAATTCAGTGAAAAGTTCATTTTTAAAAACCTTTGGAAAGCGAGTTATATTTTCTTGAGAAATCAGTGTCTTTTTATGATAAATGTTTTTTTTTACGGTCGAACCAGCCCAAGACTCCATGAATGGATCAATTATTTATATAAACTTTCCAGCTTTCGTTAGTCAGATTTCGAAATTCAGTATTCATGCATGCGTAATAAACAGCGAATTTGTGTCAAATTAAGAATTAAGAATTCGATATTACTGCATCTGTTGGAACTTTCTCCATTCAGAAGTTTGAAAGATTTTTCAATCTAACGAAATTCTGAGATGCTATAGTTTCTAAAATTCATTGCTAATTACGCATGCAGGAATGCTGAATTTTAATTCTTACGACACAAAAATATGCAAATGATCTAGCCATAAATGGTTGCTATGGGTTTATTCTTGTCCTCGTTCAACTGAAAAATAGCTTTTCATGTCTAGTGTTAGAACTTTTACAATAATTGTTGTAAGGTAAAATTTGTATGTTTCATGGACAACCAGACAATTGCACCAGAATTTTAAATTAGCCTGTTTTGTTCTCTGTTGCATGTGCAGATATCAATCACAAATAAACAAAACAATCTTTTTTTGTCTTAATGTTACCTAGAACAGTGATGGAATGGACAAAGCAGCATGACAAGGCTCTTCTGGGTGAAATGACAATCAGTGATCTTTTTCAGTACAAAAAGGGCACTCCAGAAAGGGGTCAATTATGGGATTCTATTGCTGGTAATTTAAATGCAATGGATTACCCAAAGTTTAAAGTTGCAAAATGGTCATGTCGCGATCGTTGGACACTGTTACGCACAAAGTATAAAAGAAGGATGTCAGAAGAAATCCAAGCAACTGGAATAGATGCTGAGGTTGGAGAACTTGATGAGATCATTGAAGATCTTATTGGAAAAGAAGATGCTGCTATTGACAGTGATAAAGAAGGAAAGAAGAAAGCTGAAGCTGATAAAAAGGCAGCAGAAGAAATACGGATTAAGGCTATGGAACGGTTTGGAAAAACCAGCAAAAGAGGTGGAGAGGATGGAGAGGAAGGAGCCAAAAAGAAAAAAAGGAGAAGTGGCAGTGATGCAGTAGAATTTCTCAGAGAAAAAGCAAAGTTAGAACATTCTCTGAGAGAGGAAGAGCTACAGTTAAGGAAAGATCAACAAAGCCAAACACTGTTGATATTACAGCAACAACAGCAGATGAATCAAGCATTGCTCACCCTCATGGAAAAAATGTTGCCTAAAGAGAGGAATTAACTGTTAATTACTGTAACTTAATTTGTTGTTGTTAGCCAATGGTGTCTTTTTGAATGGCACTTTACAGAGAGAGATTTGAATTTATGTTCATTAACTTTCATAGGACAATGGCATTTATGAAAGAAATGTTTACATTTTCATGTTATAATCATTTGAATTTGCTTATTATGATAAATGCCTCTTGGAAACTTTGGTGGCTTCTCATTCATGCAGAAGCTGGTACGAAAAAAGACAAATAAGGCTTAAACATTTTGTTGTTAATTTATTGGTTAAAATTGTTGGACTGTACATGTTGAATATATGTTTATAACAAGTGTCTGAAATTTTGTGCCTCACAAACTCTGCTACACCCAACAACCCTTGACCATGATAGGTTTATATGCATTTTTTTTTTTAAATCAGCTTATTGGGAGGGGCTGCTCCTCAGATTTCAAAAGGTAATGTCCAAGTTATTGCATACCATAACTGTTTCAAATTATAAAATTTCATAAGAAGATAAAGTTCTCTTTTCTTCAACACATCAGCTATGCAAAATAGTCTTTCAGGGTGGGAGGCTCAAGGTCAAAAAGTATTGTTGCCATACAAGCAACTCAAAGCATTTTGCAGAAGTGCACAAACAATGTACATCTTTCCAATGCTGCTCATTCCTATCTTGAGATTCTTTTTAAAATCCATGAATTTGAAATATTCTATGATATCTCCAAATAACCACTCTACAGACACCCTTACTGAACTCAATGAACTGTTGTATGCTTCCATCAAGGGAGTAAGGTGGGGGTTCCGGAATGGCCCCTGAAGATGGACTCTTAGGGGGTAAGCAGGGTCGCCATACAAACACATCGGTAGCCCTGTTGCTGAGTAGGCATAGGCTTCCAGGTTGTGAAGTAGCCCAGAATCATGCAACATCCCTGCATCATGCCTCCTACCCTCTAAAGTAAAGAAAAACAAAGTAATAAACTTAAGGTACTTACTATATAGTTCAACCTATAGCTTCCTAATTTTAATATACAGCAACAGAAGTGATAGTAGTGATCTTTTGTTCTTACATTTGCTCCAAACTTCTAAGATCAAGCAGTACTTTTTATATACTGCCATATATAGGCAAATGACTTTTCATTAAATTTTAGCCATGTCCTTTAAAAACTGCATCAGGTTATTCAAATCAATGCTACCCCTATTTTTGAAAACAGTATTAAAGTAATATTGTTCAATGGCACTTACCCACAGGGCCAAACATATTGGCAATGAGCCCATTAGGTATGGCAACCGACTGAAACTTGAGAGCATGTACTCTCTTGTGCCCATTGTAAACGATTCTCTGCATATCTCCTGGTTTGGAGATCGGTCGTACGGTACCATCAACAAAGCCAAAACAGTTGTCTAGAGCTGCTCCTTTTTCTGTGATGACAGTGGCATATTGTTCAAGCAATCTGGGATTCAGTATAGTGTCATTCCACTGAGTGATTCGGTGGCCATGTGGCCACGAATTAAAACGAAACCCTTCGTGACAATCTTAAATCTTGTAATACAACCTAATTTTAGGACTACGATAATTGGAAACGCACACCGCCCGAATAGCTCAGTTACACCAACGGGCAGCTAGCCGTGCTCTGTATGACTAGTGTTTATTACACCTTTTTGTATCCTCGCGTAGTTGAACCTGGCTTCAAGTTGTCTATATATTTAGTTTTATTTGTTCAGCTTTGACCATTTCCTCGGATCATGATTTTACTTTTCAATACTTGTGGCTACTTTTCTTTTTCTGAATAGCATGTTGTCTATATTTCCGGCCAGGTCTAATCAGGCCTGCTCACAATGACATCAAGTTACAAACGAAGAATTCGTGAATCAATATTTACTTATCATTGCAGGTCTTCCACAATCTTCCAATGCCCCAGCTACTCCATCTCGAGCACCTGCTCCATATTTTATAGCAGTCACCTAAAATTCAATCGCCAAACATTCACAATCATGACTCTGTGTGTTCACCTAAGGCAGCTTTCAAAACATTGATTACAAGCTTAGCTTCGGCCCAAGTCACACAATGCACAACCACATTCTAAATCACCAACATGAAATCTTTTGTCATGAAAATGAATTTACTCCTTGAGTTTCTGTATTATTAAATCAAATGACTGAGAAAAAAAAAAGAAAAAAAATAGCTTTACTCGTTGAAAATTGACTTACCTTGAGCTTCCTCAATATTCAGGATAGTGAAAACAGCAAGTACTAATACTAAAAGATAACGAAAGGCCTGAAAAATAAGAAAAATTAACCAAACGGATCAGAATTAAGGCATCTAAAATTTAACGGTGCATCAACACTCATCAAATTACCATGATTTCTAGGTTAATTTTCTCAAAACTTTCTGCACCAGGCAAGTGATCGAAGTTTCCACTCTTCGTAGTTCGATTCAACAGCAGTTTTGAAAACTCCTGGAGGCTTCAAATAATCAAGAAGTTCTTCCTCGATAGTTCAAGCACTTACTGCATTCCCAAGAACGTTAGGTAATCTATGATTAGCTGTTACTTTGCCTTTAGCCTTATAAGAAAGTGAGCTGTAGCGCGGAGAATTTTAGTATGCCGTTTCGTGCACGATTTTCTTTGATTTTAGGTGTCCACTTTCGGTTATCCACAACATCGATTTGAAAAATAATTAAAATGGAAATGTTTAACTTACTACATTTTGTGCTCTGAGTTTCTGAGTAAGTGTACGTTTGTTTATACTATCCCCTCAATCGGAAAGAAAAGTGTAAACGGAAAGTATTACTTTGACACCGATAAACATTCAGCGAAATTGTCAATACATCATAAAACTTGCACGTGGAATTATTGCTAAGATTCCGCCGTTGCAAGATTCCCTTCAGTTCACCTTCCTTTACATATGAAAGTCGGAGTAGACTTATAACATATTTCAACATGACAGGAACTTTGTGTACGTTCCTGCGTGACCTTCAATGATTGAGGAAGTATACTGTTTCAGTATTAAGAGGATTATCTTTCAAGTGCAGTTAAGAACAGATGAAGCAAGAGTCAATTTTTCGAGAAATCAATCGATTACTCGTGAAAATATAAAGTTAACCTTACAGTTTTCCGCTGAGTTTCCGCTTTCACATTGCGAGTTGTTCCTTCTCAGCGAGATTTTGCAACTTGGTATAGATGAGAAAGAATGGTATACTTCAACATGACAGGAACTTTGTGCACATTCCTATGTGACCTTCATTGACTGAGGAAATATTCTGCTTCAGTTTTGAGAGGATGATCAGTCAAGTGCAGCCGTTAGGAATATGGAAGCAAGAGTAAACTTTTCGAGAAATCAATTGATTACTAGCGAAAATATACAGTTCATCTTTAAGTTTTCCGCGACTCAGCGAGATTTTTTCGAGGAGTCTCGCACGGACCCCTCTCAGACTTCTCGCAATTCGATCATCGACTCGAATCTTGCCTCGCTGCTTTTGCTGTATTGCTAATTAAATCCTGCTCTATAGCAGCAGTAGCTCCTCTAAGATCTCGGTTAGTGGGGCGAGAAAACAGGCGGGGTGAGCAGAGGAAAAACATTGGTAAACTAAGAGGGCAGATGATTTTCGCTCGCTGCCAATAGCTGTGATCTCCATTGAGCGTGAGCTTGCCCACTGTCTATTTTAGGACTAACTGACCGCCAGTCGGACGACAAGTATGTTAAAATTATTATCACATTTACTCTAAAGTAATGATAAATATATATAGAAAGAGTTACCTCGTTTTACAACGCCCTTACCAATAATCATTTGTTCGTTCATTTCTGACAAACTGATGAAATTTAGCCAGTCACTACTTCCTCCTTAATTAAAAACATTGATTAAATTGAGGCTGTGCCGGCCGCGCTTTAAGGGAGTTAGCGCTGCGTGTGATTGGTGCATTGTTCATGATCAGCAGTTATCACTAAGCCATTATAGCACGCGTATTTACGATGACCTTTCAGAACAGTTAAGTTAGAGGGAAAGATCATTTATTAAAAGCAGTTTTCATCCAACAGTGGAAAATTTTGTAGCTTTATAAAATATCTAGATAGAGCGGGCGCTCTCATTGGTCGATTAATGTGTTTAGATGGAAGTATGAAACACGGTTTGTAACGTCACAATTTTTGTTTTACAGCACAATTTGAAAATATTTCAAAGCTTTCGCAACAATAACAAAAAAATTCAAGTATAAATGATGTTAAGGAAATGGAGAAGAGTAGCCAAATTTTGATTTGGTCTTTATCATCGCCCCCCCCCCCCCTCCCCACCGTCAAAAAAAGCAAAAGAAAGGATGATCTCGTCGAGGGAACTCAGGCAAAGACGACGAAATAGGCAACAAAATGCGCAGTAAGCGTTTTTCAAGGTAATTTTGGATTCCTATGATGTCCTCCACGAGACATTCTTTATTACTTTGAACTATATTCTCCCAACCTCTGTCGTGTTTAGATGAGGCTATGTGAACTCAGCCTAAGTCTTTGCTAATTCCTGCAAGAGTTTTCGAGAAGAATTGCCTCCAATTTGAGAAGGAAATCAGTTACAGCACTAATGAATAGCAGGAACAGTTAGCTTTAATAGATCCAAAGTTTTGTCCATTAACTCGTCATATTAAGAGACAAGACAAGATTTTTTGTCCAGCGCGCAGCGACTGCAACATTGTAGCTCACGGAATTCTATCTTGCTACAAGTTACAAGGTGTATTCAGTTAGTTCACAGACAAAATATGGAAACTTCAGCTGGAATATTTTTCATACCACCGTGATCAGAGGAGACCCTTCTCTTTGACCTTAATTTGCATGTCAAAAATTCACTACTTTGTACGAAAGAATTCTCAAAAGGCAGGCGTTAATCGGGCTGAAAAAGCATATCAGTGCATAGTTTATACACCAATGAGGTCACGGATTGTCTCAAACCCGCGGGTTTATCTCTAACTTCCATCCATCAACTTCTTAAAAACAACGCAAATCCACGTGTTTGCTCAATTGCGCTCGTGTCAAAGATCATTTGCATGATTCTTGGAATAGACCAAGATCTCCTTTTGACAGTTCAAACTTCGTTCGTTTATCTTCTACGTTGAGGATTTTAGATTTTCACTGCAACTGTGTGGAGATTAGATGCCGAGTTGTCCTAAAACGTTGCGTAAACGTGATCGGTCGTAACGCTAGCTCGCTTTCGTGACTTACAAAGTAGACAAAGGTGATCGGAAGGCGCCTTCTCGATAATTTACGTTGAAATATCAGGTCATGAACTATGCACAGTGTGGAGAAGATCAAAATTAAAGAATAAAATTTGGCACTCTGATCATAACAGACATATCGCGCTGCTTAAAAGGACACGAAAACAAGTTAAACTAGACCCTGTGAGCAGGGTAACTGGGATATCTGGATGGTAGTGGATCCTTGGAATCAAGTGTAGTGATACTACGGGTGTCGGACTACTATACTGAAATAGTGAGCTCAAGTCTGGCCAAGGGCATACACCTATTTCAAAAAATAGGCATGCTATGCATGCAAGAGTTATTTTTTGTAGGCTGGGTGGATTACTTGAAACATTGTAAGTGATGTCTACATTTTCACAAAAGGAAAGAAGAGCATTAACGCGGAAAAGAACAAAAATGTCGAATTAACTCACACACAGGAATTTTTTGTAGATTGTATGTGCTGTGCGAATAAATGTAACCAAAAATTAACTGTATTGGTGCCACGGATACCTGTTAGTACAAAATGCAGACAGCAGACTGCAGACCGGATACAAAATATAGACTGCAGACTTCAGAGTGGATACAAAATGCAGACTGAGAATCTGAAGAGTTTCTACGTCTGGTATATAATAACATGTCATTTTACAGCTTACCGAGCGTCACGCAATCGCTTTTCTGCGATCAACGTTCACGATTATTTGCACTATTGTGGAAAATTCCTGGCCCATTTCTCGATGAAAATCGATCGTAATATAATTTCAAGCCTTCAATATAGTCTTCTTACTATGCGCGAGGTGCTTGGTGTGATGTCTGTACAGATTTTACCAACGTAATAAAAGTAGATGACGTGAATAACAGTGATGGTCAAGCAAGTTTAAAACGGCAGAAATCGCCAGAAACTACAACGGATACACAGGGTATAAGAAAGTTTTATTGATTTTACGAGAAAAATGATCATATTTCGAAATGCGCTTGTCATCAGAACTGAGATTGGCGACAGAGAAGGAGTAGCAGCTGACTACAGAAACCTAGGTACTGTGTTTCATTCGCTCGGGCAATACGACAAGGCTAAAGAGTATCATCAAAAAGCGCTTGTCATCAGAACTGATATTGGCGACAGAGAAGGAGAAGCAGCTGACTACGTAAATCTAGGCATTGTGTTTAATTCACTCTGGCAATACGTCAAGGCTTTAAAGTATCTCCAAAAAGCGCTTAATATCAGAACTGAAATCGGCGATAAGGGAGGGGAGGCAAGAGATCATGCAAATCTTGGAAATATGTCCAGAACTGTTGGAGATTATGAAGCTTCGGAAATATGCTTGGAGAAAGCTTTATCCATATCCAGAGATATTGGAGATAGAAGAACAGTGTTCCAAATTCTTCGAGAATACGCCATTTTGTATTTATTTCAAAATAAAGTCGAAGACTCTCCTTCGTGTCTTCAACTTTGTATTGAAAAGTATGAGGAGCTGAGATCTTTCTTGGGCGCCAACGATCAGTTTAAAACATCATTTCTGGAGCACTCAGGAATATTTCCCTACAAGCTACTTTGTACTCTGCTTTGTGACACCGGAAAAACTCGTGATGCTCTTTATGTTGAGGAGTTGGGTCGAGCTAGAGGCCTATCAGACTTGATGGCAGAGAAGTACTCGGTTGAAACGCACATCTCTGATAATCCACAATCTTGGTTTGGCATTGAAAACATTTTTAGAAAGAAAAACAACTGTACTTGTCTGTACATTTCTTATTTTCACAATCATCTGCATTTGTGGATCTTGAAAACAGGTGGAGTCCTTCACTATAGAAGAATATCACCTGAAGAGAATCTAGTTCAGGCCGGGTTGCCCAAAGACTTGCCTCTGAGTAAATTTTTGGCTAAAAATTTCCGGAGTCTTGGTATTTTGCCCATTGAAGATTGTGAAGATCGGTCTATAAAAAGGGTTGAATCGCAACCTATCTCCCCCGAACAAAAAAGCTCAGCAAGGTTGCGACTCGTGGAGGAGGGTGAGGACGAGGAAGTCATTTCAAGTCTATCCTTGTGTTACAAAATGTTTATTGCCCCCGTTTATGATTTGCTTGAGGAGCCTAAAGTGATTATTGTTCCTGACCGCAGTTTGTACAAAGTTACCTTTGCTGCCCTGAGTGAAAAGGAGGGAGCCGAATACCTGTCAGAGACTCGTAGGATCCGTGTCATTCCTTCTTTTTTACGACACTCAAGACGATTCAAGATAGTCCAGAGGACTATCACAGCAACACTGGTGCCTTGATAATAGGCAACCCACGGTTGATGGGTTGCCAGGTGCCAGAAAGGAAGCGGAGATGGTCGGACGACTGGTGGGCGTTCCCCCCCCCCCCTGGTTGAAGAGGAAGCAACGAAGCAGGCAGTAATAGAGCGGATAAGTTCAGTGAGCCTAATACATTTTGCTGCCCATGGTAGCGCCGAAAGGGGAGAAATTGCCCTCTCCCCCATTCCTTCTGCCAAAAGTCGAAACGCTATCCCACCACAGGAAGCTTACATGTTGACGATGGCTGATGTCTCAAGAGTGAAAATCAGAGCCAAACTGGTGGTACTTAGCTGCTGTCACAGTGGAAGTGGAGAGATAACAGCCGAGGGAGTTATAGGAATTGCTCGTGCGTTCTTAGGATCCGGTGCTCGCTTGGTGTTGGTTGCGCTGTGGGCCATTTCAGACTCAGCAAAAGAGAAGCTGATGAGTCGGTTCTACGAACACCTTGTTGAAGGAGAAAGTGCCAGTGAATCCCTTCATCAGGCCATGAAGTGGATGAGAAAAAAACGGCTTGACCAAAGTGTCTGAGTGGGCTTCGTTTACGCTGATTGGAGATGATGTTAGGCTCGAGTTCACAAACAGAGGTAAGACTCGGTGAGAACAGGTATTTCATAAATTAAAATTAAATTAGTTGTGAAGGTAACTACGACTTACCGGTCGCTGACTGTCGGCGGGGATCCTTTGTTACCTTGAACATCAAGGCTAGTTTAATATATATCTATATATCTATCTATCTATATATATATCTATATACATATATATATATATTTTTTTTTTTTAATTTTCGAAAAGTTACTATAGACGCTCTTTGGTGTAAGATATTGAATCGCGAAAGTACCTCTCTGCCAATCAGATACAAGTGTTAGCCATATACATTTCACATATTGTGCTTGGTATAATTGTATTTGCTTCACATCCTAAATATTAATCGAGTTAATAATAAATTGTTGTTTTTGACTTTTTTACAGGAAAACAGACCCTGACAGAGTAAATAATGAGAATTACTTGAAGGGAACAGAGCTAAAAGACTTTTAGATGGATAAATTAAATAGAAACAAGTATAGACAATACTCTATCCGTTATTTCATTGAAATTAAAAAAAAAGAACTATCCCAAATTAGGATGCGGAACGCTTTTAAATAAAGCGAAATCAGTAAAGTAATTAGGTATAAAACGAACCACTAAAATCTGGTTTGATTTTTTTTAAAGGCTTCTGTAAGATTTAGTTTCTTTCAAACTTTCACAGTTTATGGGATCATTAAGTTATTCGAGAATCCTGAGTAGTTCGGGTTCAAAGCTTATCCTTGGGGTATTAGAGCCCCCACATCAAATCCCTGGGGTAAAAGGCTGAAATTAACTCGAAAATGCACTTCCAATAAACATCTCTCACGCTATTACAATACGATGGATTTTAATCTCATTTTGTTAACAGTTGTTTGAACCTTAAGAAAATGAATTCCTAAAATTGGGGTAATTTGCTTTCGTTTTTGCTGATTAAGAACAGTTAGCCATTGACCGGAACTATTCAAAAAGAGAAAAAAATAGGGATTTTTAATTCCAAAATCTCCAATGGGCAACATTGTGTATCGACAAACATATGATCACAGAAATTTTTTTGGGCAAAAAAATTTTTGGGCTCTGTAAAAGATGCGTGATCACAGCCCTCTTAAGTACGTGACTATTGACGTTAATTTATGCGATTTTTGCCATAAACTTGATGTTTATTCAGTCAATTTTATTTTGAGAATGGGATCGTGGACGTTCGTTGTCGTTGAAGTAATGCTGAGAAGTCACATATCACCGAAATTCACGCTTACACAGCTTATTGGAAAAAAAAAAGATTTATGAATGTATGTATAAATCATACATTAAACATTTATACCGAATTGAGTAACAGATGTCGGCAGTTGGCAGCGAGTTTTGCCAAATATAATTTACACAAGTTGGCCACTTTACATACCTATAACGATTATCCTCAATGCACCGTAAAATCATTTCCCTGGGAAAAGTGGGTCTAGAAGCCTCCATCTGATTTTGGGTAAATTATGTGACAGTTGCTCTTCTTACCTTTAACCAAACTTTAATTTAAAAAGAAACAACAACTGAGCTCTGACGAATAACTTTTGCCGCTAATAACGATATCTATTGAGATTCCCATTGCTGTAGAAGAGTTTTTCTTAACATTAGTGCTGATAGTGCTGTCAAAAAAATTAAGGGTTTTTGTCGGTCTTCTCATTATCAGTCTATTTAAGAGCATAAACGCCTAAAGTTGTTTTTCTCACCCGAGAGCCAGTGCTTCCAAAAGTTATTTATGAGATGAAGATTAACTGACAATTACATGTAAAATTTATTTTGCAGTTAAATTTCTGTATGTTTTAGAATTTCCAAACTCGGACTTAAAAGTCTAATTCAACTTGACCGTCTGCGCTCTTTTTGACAGCGACAGAAACGTGCCACGACTTGCCCTTTTTCCTGAATCATTCTCTCTGTTTCTCGGTAACCAACTGGGAGGAACTTCATGGCCCAGTCCATGATTATGAGCACTTGGTTATTGCCAGGTTCTCAACAACAGCAGTTTTAGCGGTGTCTTGATGGGCTGCCCGGAGGATGTGCGCTCTCCACTCGTTGATATAAGTGATTGCGTTGTCTACGTCATGCTGTAGTTCAAATGGACGCATAAAGATATGCTATTTCTTTTTCTGAAAATTCATGCAGAGTGGGGTTTTTTTGGATGGGCGGAATTCCTTTAATTGGTGGACAAGTTGGTAAAACTATCAAATAAAACTATTTCTGGAAAATTCATTTTTTGGGGTTTCAGTTAAGACGCATTGTAAACCCTGAGATGCTCAATAGGACCGTCACATGCTTCAAGTTGTCAACAGTCAGAAGAAAAATATTTGATAATCTATGAGATTTTGAGATGAATATGAGAAATGTCACAGCTTTTCTACACTACTCGGGCATATAACAATTTTTATTATTCAGTCAACTCTAACTATGGTTAACTGCGATACACTCTCCATCCCATGAGGAAACGAAGGTTGTAATCGGCAACTAAATGCTTATAGCTCTGAGTCCATGATCACCTGAATATGACTTCTTGCGAGTTAAATACCAACTGGATGTCTGCTATTGAATTCTTTAAATCCTCACATCGTTCACAAATAACCATATGCTGATGCTCACAGCTTCCGCGAAACTCTGGTTCGGAAGAACTCAAGGCATATTGCCTGCAATGGTCAGGACAAGGACTCTCTACTGACAGGTGGATTTTGTAATCGGTCTTTAGTTACTGTCTTGAAACTTTCAAGCGGCGTTTGATGTCTCTCACACCTTCCTCGTTTAGACCTTATATATACTTACGAGAATAAACCTTCTTCGAGTAATTTGTTCACATTACTTTCGCACAACTAGTTTGTCTAAAATTTTCCTTACCAAGTGAGCATAATATTTCTGCTGTTTCCACCAATTTTCTGAAAGCGCACACACCATCTGTTTGAATGCTATCAAGTCCTGTGAGAGATTTCTTTTTAGAAGCAGCGCAAAGCTTTGAAGGAAAGAAACGTTACCAGCCAAGTTAGACGGTATGTTCTCTCGATATACTTCATTCTCATTTTCATAGAGGGTTCAAACAAGTAGGATTATATTAAGGACGAACTATGCACAATTCTAGGTGTCTTAAAATATTAAGCAGTGGGATATCTCTCCCCTTGGAGGTGACACCTATCTGGTAACTAGGTCCTGAAACATGCGGGAATAAATTAACGCCTATTAGATCTGTAATACAACATACGTATTTGATATATCCTCGCATAGGTCATACCGATCTTTGATGTACATGTGATCTCCTTACTCATGAGTGAGATCATTCTAAAGTCTAAGACCAAGGCATCATAACAAGTGCTTACACAACTAACAGCGAAAAAGTTTAAAGGAAGCGTAGAGTGGCTTTCATTTCATGATGAGGATCGACAAGGGAAATTGCGTTTCGCATCGTACATAATTTTAATTTCGAATTTACCTACCTTCAGTATGTTACATAACGTCGATCAACCCAAAGGTTGAAATCCAGTTTCGGAACAGTATGATGTATACAGATGGATTAACCTTAATGCAATTACGGTTCTCACTACGTTAGGAATTTCTAATGTTTCTCCATCAAAAAGTTTCAACTTTTTTGTTCCGCACGTCACATCTTGCAAAAAAAAACGGACTGGAAAGTGATCGACCTTTACTAGATGCTGTCTACTTCGCTTTATCTCTGGTGGTTCTATCTGCTGACCAGGCTCATGAAGAAAAGCGTATTTCCTTGCTTCATCAATCCTTCATTTTGAGAAACCGGGATCAAAGTCAACAATTCTGACTTTGAATGGTCACAAACAAAAATCATAAGTATTTGCTGTCTAGTATACCATGAATCTGTATCTTCATAGAGCTTTATTAGCCTTGCAAGAAAAAGTTTTTCAGACATGTTTCCACCCCTTCCAATGAGGTACTTCTCAGTCACCCGTTGGAAAAGCCAAGAGGACTGCTCTGGCGCAATTGCCTCCAGAACTGTCTCTACTGCTTGCACTGCTTTACGTCTGTAGTAGCGACTTGACGACGAGGACAACCTCGAGGCATCTGTACAAAGCTGGGATCGAATGGGACTTACTTCTCCATCCGCAGCGTTTCGAAGGAAGTTATTGAGAGAGTGTAGCTTATGTTGCACTTGAGGAGTAGGCACCCATTCCAATGAAGTTTCAATTTCTGTAACTGACCCTTGTGAAGCGCATGAGAAGGCATCAGGGCTAGCATCATCAACCCCCAGTTGGGGCTGAAGAGCTTGTAAGTCCTCAGGAATGGTAAGTGTCTTGGAAGCTTCATCAACTACCCCCAATTGAAGTTGTGAAGATGTCATAACCTAGAATTAAATAAAAAACAAAGATGCACATTGCGCAAAATGTTGTAGGACGCAGGACGCAAACTTCATTATCACTAAGGTATTAAAAAAGCATTGACTTATTTACCTCACTAGACTGTTCTTGGAGTGACGAGAAACAGGCTCTAGGCTCACTGACTGGTGTAGGCATATGAACAGGGGAAGGCTTATTCTCAGTTGCTAAGGGAACTTCGAGAAGAACAGAACCATGTTCACTGCGGCATAGTCTGCAAATACCTACGATAGCTCCTAATACATTATCATGAGGCTATCTTATTTGAATTCAAAACGCCTATGGTATATTTCACTTTTGTAATATGTCTAAGGTTCAAATAAAACCGCTAAAAAGAGATGGAGAGGGAAAATTTATTTCTTATGTGACAAGGGAAGTCTAGAGGATCATTATTGGAAAAACAAAATGCGGTGGCTTCTCAGGCGGTAGTGTTTGTATGAATTACTAACTTTGCTTTTATGAAAAGAATAGACCTCTCCTCTTTTCGTGTTTTGTTTGCTTTTGTTTCCTTTTTCTATTTAATAATAGATCTTAGGCGAAACTTTGAAAAAGGCATGTAGAGTCGCGGTTCCTCGCGCATCTTTGCGCTCTTGTGACTGGCCAGTCTACAAGTTTCGTTTGTCCGTGTCCAATTACTTTTTCAGCCCATTCCAAAATTTACTATTGGGCAACTTTTCCGTCACAAAAATATTCAGATGCAGATAGCGTAATACATTAACCAGCCAGATTAGCGAAATAATTCTATTGGTCTGGTGTCATCTTCGACTAATTATAGAAAACCAAGTTTACGCTATTTTTCTTGACTGGAAATGTAATGCATCAGAAGGCGAAGAACAAGCAAATGCAAGAACAAAATCAGATAATAGCTTAAAAACATACCTCCACCGACGGGAACAAGTACATTCCTTTTTATCATTACTTCTCCGCTCCTCCCTCCGGTTTTCTTCGTTCACTTCCGTGCAACGGATGGTGGCGTTTCAGATTTGTACTCCACTAAGCACCTAGCGCTGCGCCATGCTTTGGACAAACGGTTACAACAGCCTCCTCTTGATCGAATAATCCTGCCCCGGCCGAAATAAGTTCCTTTTCTGACCGAACAGATGTCTGAGGCACCTTCAGCTGTCGCAGGTGAGATTTTACATCTTTCTCACAGGAAGACAAGGTAAAAAATTCATTTCCTCCTGGATACCTCGCTGATATATCGCACCTTGCGTCGGAATATGATGCGAACGAACATGACAATTGAAAAGACATTCTTAAAGCTTCTGTTCGTAATAGCCGAAACAAGTTGAACTTAAAAAACATAAGTCGAACTCCTCCGGTAAAAGAATCCATGCAGACTGAGACTATGTAAGAGAGGACAACGTGAATTCATTAGTCTGTATTTACTTTTCGTCACAACATTGTCTAAACAACTCTTATCGAAAGATCTCTTAGTTGATGAAAAAATAACTCAATTCAGTGTGTGATGTACATTTACTTAAAAACGTCCGAGAGGTGTCCCAGGATCAATTGTCACGCGATTGCATCTTTATTTACGTGACCTCTTCCGTTTCCCCAATAAGAATTTTTTTTTCCATTTTCAGCGCCTTCATGGGATTTTAAAACATTGACATAAACTTAGTAGGTGTTTAACCCTTTGTCCCCTGTGGGTGACTTATATCTATTTTCTCCTCACCATATCCCCCTGAATCAAACATTGAAGTCAGCAGAATAAAGAAACTGATCACCTTCCAAAGAAGCTCTTGGTTGTCAGACAAATTCTTCTTGTCAACACCTTAGGAAATGTCTAGAGATCAGTGTAGAGAATATGCATACTGATGTTAGGGTGTAAAGGCTTAAGGTAATAAAACATGCTCAAACGCTTTTAGAAATGCCCCTGTAGACCGTGTATGAAAACAAGGCTACTAAATAAAACATCTTGTAACTTCGTTTATTATAGGAAAATAGCACCAAAATAGAACCAAAGATATAAGACCCTCATGTAAATCTATGTTCTCGTTGATGTCTTAAACGCTCATACGGTAACTCACGTGACTAAATGAGCATGGAAGTGAGGCTGGGCTATTAAAAATTAATCCTTTGACCTTCTTACGATGTCTAAAATAATTTGCTATTCTTCATAAACAGCATGGAAATTTATTTTAGTTCAACTGGAAGTTTGGGGTAAATCTCATGGTTTTCAGGGGGAACGGTGGGGAAATCCGTTGTTGCCTACAGAGTATAGAGGGCAGCCTGTAGATAATTGACTGCCCATTAACTGGGGCTTCCCCGCTTTAAGAGCTAATGTCAGCAAATTTTTTTTTCGTTCGACCGCTCAAATATGTAAATTTTCACCGTGAACATTACCCGAGTTGTGTGACCTCATGTAGCGAATATACTTGACCTCCGGTATTTCTGTCAACCTAATCCGTTGTTTTATCATCTAAACTTAATCCTCTGTCATTATTGAAGCTGGCAAAGAAATATTTATTTGTCGCCACCGTTTACTGGCATAAATCAGTACAATTTCGTAAAAAAATCTAACAAAACACTCTTACCTTGTTTATTTATGATTTCATGAGCTGTTTCGATGATCGCGTTATGCTCTATCACTTT